CCCCCTACCCTCGCCATTTCTCTCTTCTCCATCCTCTCCCTCCCTTCTTCCTCCCCTCTCCCTTTTTCTCTCTTTCTCTCTTTTTTTTTCACATGGGAAAACACCCACCCCTCCCATTTCAGGATAACTTCATTTGGAGTACTTTCTTTAGGTTTTATATTTTAGCAGCTTCTTGGCTTAGAAAGAATCAACAATGATTTGTCGGAAGCCGTTACTCCTTCAGAGACCACATCCCTACTGTCGTTCATGCCTAACCCATTGGATGTATTTTATAGACACTAAGATAACAAGAACAGGCCTTGCTTATGAAATTGGAACCTGAGCTCCTCCAGGTAGTGGGAAAAGCTGTTTTCATCTTCGATCAGGAGGCAGTTATTAACAAAGACCACCTCTTCCCCCCCCTCCCCAGCAGTTCTTTTACATTCTATACCTTGCTTAAGTCATTCCTTTTGTTTTTTAAATTATATCTTTATTCACCTTACAGTTATGAAATAAAATGATTAGCATGTTAATACCAATTTTAGCATCCCATTCATCGAGTGCCTGGTGTGCACTCAATGTGCAGTGAGTTGTGTCAATTATTGCTGTCCTTCTCAGAACTAGCGCTACACAGGACACACCTGAGCTCAATGAGACTAAGCTTTTGCCCCTCCCTCCTCACCCCATCCCAGAAGAGCTGAGGTTCACACTGAGGTCTTGCTGATACAGGAGTCCCGCCTCTGGCCAGCTGAGGTTCCATTCCTAAAACCATTTGAAAAGATTTGGCATTTGAATGCATTCTGTAATAGTTATCTGCTTATAAGATTCCTTCTCAGCTTTACTAACAAGTTTTGAGGAGAGAAGCCTGGTCTGGGGGAAGTGTAAGAACGTGTTTAACACAATCACATATGCATGCACACACATACACTCACACATAAAGACCCTCAAAGACTGGATTTAACCAGTTACCTCACCATGCGCCACATCCAGCATTGGGCAACATGCTAGAAACAGCATTTAGGACATAGCAGGGGGAACCTTTGAGGAGTCTAAGAAACAGGAATTCCCAGAGTCTCAGTTCCATCCCAGAAAACAAGACCTGATATATTTACTACAAGGGGCATTCCAGAGCAAGTTCAAATACTACTTCCGGGACTCTCCTGTTTAAATTTTTACTTTGACATCCACTGTTGAGAGACAGATCTTGGAAATAAAGTTTGAAATCTGAGCAGGAAAAAATAATTATCTTCTAGTTGATCTGAAGTTGAATTATCTTCTAGTTGATCTAAGAATGAGAAAGCGGTGGGAAAATATCCCCCTGTAGTGGTACAGCACTTTACAGTTTGTAGCACACTTTAGTATGTGTTATGACTCCATGGAAGCACCGTTTCCCTCTCTGGTCCCTCCTCAAGCTCACACCTCTGGCAAACCCCTTCTATCCTCTGGGTTCGAGTTCCCTCATCTGTACAATGAGAGAGTGGACCAGTCAGTCGCTGAGGCCCCTCAAACTTTTGTGATCTGATATCAGTAAAAATGCAGTAAATGTTACTTGTTACTCTTCCCGTATCTGTCAGCCCTCAGGCTCTCCTGTATCTGGGCTGTGGGGGAATCCCTGTCTTTCTAGCTCAGGCTTTACCTCCTTGAGCTATCATCCTTTTCATGCCTCTTGGTACCTGAGCTAACAGAGACCCACCAGCTTTTTCTAGGAAGTCACTTGGCTTAAAAAGATCTCATTTGTTGAGAGATTAGTGTGCTAGTTAAGTTTAGACTAGGTAACAATCTAAGGGCCATTCCATTTCCCAGATTCTGTAATTCCACAAAAGGCCACCCTTTAAAAATGTACTTAGAGAAACCCCTGAGCAAATTCATTGGCCACTATTTCAGCGCTTTGTGTGGCAGTTCTTTTAGTCAGTACTCTTGATCCAAGAGTTTGATCTGCGCTGCTGCCTTTAGGGTCCCTGCGTATAGGAGGGAATAGTCCTTGGGTTTATTTGCTTTTCCTTTTTAACTGGTCTGGCCTCAATCATTCTCTAGCATTTGAGGTTATGGGCATTTTTTAGCATTTTGACTCAATGAACCTTGTTTTCTTGATGTGCATTTTAGAAGACAAATCTGACCTTGAAAACAGTGTGATGCAGAAGAAAATAAAAATCCCCAAACTTTCTCTCAATCATGTAGAAGAAGATGGGGAGATTAAGGATTATGGGGAAGAAGATTTACAGCTTAGACACATCAAGGTAACAAAATCTTTCCTTTTTTGCAAGTATGTGGGAGCATTTTCAGATTTTTGATAGCATAAGAATTCCAGTTTGGCCTCCTCTCACCGTATAAATGTCCCCTGGTGTCACAGGCCACGATCTTTTCAGGTTGGGAAAGATTAGGACAGCTAACGTGTTTCTGGCCAACCTTCCAGGGAACCCTGCTTCATGCTAGGCCACCCAGCACCACGCTGTTTGCACCATCTATGAAGGGTAATTGCGGTTGAGGGTTTGGATCAGTGCCTCTCTCTCTGGCCCACAGCTCTGGAGAGGTCTCTGCTGAGCTTCAGGAACATTAAGCAGGCCGTTCTCGGGCAGCAGTTCCAAGCCAGTCACTATCACATTGCCCCAAACAGCTAATGGTAGACTCAATAGGAAATGGGCTGAGCCAGGTTCACAGAAGGGGGTGTATAACTTGTAAGAAAACTTTTGCATGAGGTTGCATTTCCTTTAGTATGCACCCTAGTTGGTCTCCTTAGCCTCACTCGTAAACCTGCTGAAAATCTTGTTCAACAAGCCAAGTGTATTTTCTGTATAATAGGTACCCAACAGGAAGGGAGGAGAAAGAAGGATGCTTTCTGCATCGACCACGGTCTGATTTTGGTCACAAGGTTAAGGACGTTCCCAAGGTAGAATCCAAAAAATGCAGTTGAGTTCAGTTCATGCATTCATTTCACCCTTGCTATGGGCCTGGCCTTGTGCCAGTCTCTGGGGTCATGGAAATTAGCCAGATGTGGTCACTGCCCTTGCTGGTCTTATAGTGTCGTTGATGCAAACAGATATCTAAAGTGATCATGACAGTTTTAGCTGATAAATACAGCTAGACTAGTGGATGAAATGACAGGATAGGATATTGTCATGTAACTGAATATCAGAGTCATGTTTGGGTTTTGGGGGTTTTTCTTGTTTTGTTTTTCTTTAAATTTCCAGAAACTTAGTGAGAAATTAAGGCAGGCTTGACCCGACACAGTTAAGTTGTCTAAAACCTTGTTTGTGTCCTCAGTTGTCTTTGCCTCCTATAAGGCTCCCAGTCAGGAGAGCTCCTGGCCCTCCTGACTGGGTGAAGGGTTCCGTTGGTTCTGTAATTCTCACTCCTCAATGGAAGCTTTGTCCACTCAAGCTGGAATTTCCTCCAGCAGCTGAAGCCCTTGGGTAGTTCTGGATAATTCTCTTCTCAATGAACTGTCCTCTCTGTATCCACCGTCTTGCTGAGCTCCAGTTTGGCCAGTGTCCAAGGAGAGGTTGGCAGATATGGGAGAAGGAGCCTAAGGCTGGAACTTGGGTTCCATGTTCTGGCTCTGGCTCTGGCTCTGTCTGTTGCTTCCCATGTGACCTGAGCCGAGTCCTTCCGCTCTCTGAGCCTCAGTTCTCTCACCTGTAAAATGAGGGAGTTAAACTGAAGAACTTTCCGATTCTAGCATTTTTTGAACTTTTCAGTTATGAAAATATTTACCAAGCCTTCGCCAAGTGCCAGTTCTGGGTAGGAGTGGAGAAACAGAGGAAATAAGACATGATTCCTGCCCTAGAGTAGAGTAGAGTAGAGTTCTTAGTGTCCTTCTGAACATAAGCATTCTTGAGGAAAGGTTTCTTGGTGGAACGCCCTTTTACTCATTTTCATGTTTTTGTTGCTGAAGTGATTTGAGTGGTGACTTCCTTGGGATGGCTTGGCCTGGCCAGATTTCTCACTGATTCTCCACAAATAACACACTGAACACCCCCTGTAAGCAAGTCACTGCCTAGGCCTGTGGGTGGGGCAGAGGGGCTGGGGAGTTGGGAGGGTGATGGTCATGGTATATAATATGTACCCAAGAGACAGAGTGATGGAATGGAAAAAGTGCCGGCCTGGGAAACCAGCATCCTGGTTCTGCCACCACCTGACTGTGTGACTCTGGGCAAGACCCTTCCTCACTCTGTACCTCTTGTTTCCCCACGTGTAAATTAAAGGGCTTTGACTAAGCGTTTGCACAGGTGTCTCCAAGCACTGATGTTCTGTGGTTCTGTGATTCTAGGATTGTCTGGGGAAATAATGAGCTGCAGTCCAAGAAAAGTCCCAGCTGCCCTTGCCTGAACTGACTCTCGTTGTCCTACACAGAGACCTGAGGGGCGGAAGCCGAGCGAAGTGGCGCACAAGAGTATCGAGGCCGTGGTGGCCCGGCTGGAGAAGCAGAACGGCCTGAGCCTGGGCCACGGCACGTGTCCGGAAGAGGTCTTCGTGGAGGCCTCGCCGGGCACGGAGGACATGGACAGTCTGGAGGACGCCGTCGTGCCCCGGGCTCTGTACGAAGAGCTGCTGCGCAACTACCAGCAGCAGCAGGAGGAGATGCGCCACCTCCAGCAGGAGCTGGAGCGGACTCGGAGGCAGCTGGTGCAGCAGGCCAAGAAGCTCAAGGAGTACGGGGCGCTCGTGTCCGAAATGAAGGAGCTCCGCGACCTCAACCGCAGGCTCCAGGACGTGCTGCTCCTGAGGCTTGGCAGTGGTGAGTGCCCCGCAGGCCACCTGCTGCCCCACAGGGGTGGGATGCTTTGTGCAGCTCCCCTTCCAGGAGGGTGAAGAGGCAGGCGAGGTGCCCCTGAGGCTAGGGAAGGGCAGAGACTTGGCTCAGCAGTTACCTCTCCCCTCCCACAGTGAATCTGACGGACTTAGAATGCAGCAGCCTTAGCTATCTGGGACACAGTGGGGAACACTGAGAAGTGTGGCTCAGAGGAAAAGAGTCGACAGAGTATTTGCCACCACTCATTTAATACATTCATTCAGCAAGAGGCAGTACCAGGGGTTATAGGAGATTTTTAGGATACTAAAGAGAACTAATTGAGATCCTAAAAAAGTCCGTCCTTTAAGTGAGAAAATGATAAATGCCTTGGGAGCGATACGGATAAAATGATAAGAGTTCAAAGGGTGGAGAGAGGTGATGTGTAAGGGAGGGAGACTTCAGGAAGGAGGTGGGCCTTGAACTGGGCCTTGAAACTTGGGTGGTGTTTTGAGGCATAAGAGGAGGCTGAGGGCAGCAGTCACAGAGCATGAAAACACACCTGGAGCATACTAAGAAGGGATAATGCAAATGTGGTTTGAGGATAGGTAATTGAAGGCTTCCAAAACGTTAGCAGCCTGGGGTGTCTGGACTTGTTTTGGTAGGAATGAGAAGCATTAAAAAGCTTTTGAGCAGAGAAGCACATGACCTTAGGAAGATTACCATAAAGATGTGTAAAACTCCTTGCGGCTTGCTCATAGAACTCAATAGGCTCTTTTTTTGCACCTGATTTTAACAAAGCAGGTTTTTAGGTTTTCTCATCTAAGGTGATTTAGAAGCAGGGATAGGAGAAATCTGAAAGATGTCAGGTTTACAGCAGGGAGAAATGACTGTCTACCAGAGAGGAAAGAGAATTTCACTCTTTCAAAACACAAGAATCCAGAATTATAAAAGGTAGAGACCATGCAGGAAATCAGTGTAAGGCAAGTTCATAGCCTCCACACCCCTGAGGACGGCCATGGATAACCCCGCATCAATGTGCCGCGCTTAAAAAAGGACGTCATCTTGTCTAGAAACACAAGTTCTGTTCCCAAGGTTTATATCAAATACAATATTATCAAATACAATATTATATTCAAGAAGGAAGGTTTCTGTTACCTAGCTCACAGATTTATATGTGAAGCCTCATTTCTCTTTGAAGTTTAGTTAAATGTGCTCTTATCCTTCCTTACTTATATTTATAGATGCCTTTTACTTCTTAAACTCCGTCCTCAGTAGATCTTCAGGATGGCCCAGGGAGTCAGCCAAGAGGCCTTTTCGTGCCTTTGTCACAGGGAAGGAAACTGAGGTTGGGGTTTACCCAGAGTCACTTGGGGAGGCAGAGGCAGAGCTCGTCTCAAACCAAGTTTCCTGAGTCCTAGGCTGGTAATTTCCTCACTCTGGGACTCTGTCTTGCCCTTGGCCATTCTTCCAAATCATTGCCTGTAGAGGTGCACAGTGACACTAAAGGTCACATGTGGTGTGCAACTTAAAACGTTATTAAAATTCTTTATTGAAATAAAATCTCAAAGAGAAATCCTAACTGAAAATTTGTGAAAGCCATATTGGTCTTGAAGTAGGAGTGGGGAATGAAGAGAGAACTGAAATTTTCCAAGAAAAAAAGCATGTCCTGGTCTTCAGCTAAATGACTTATATTTTCATCACACTCTGCGTGCTGTGCCTTCTGTAAACTTCTCTAGGGGTTGAAGGGGAGACACAATAACAACACAAACTCTCTACAACCTTATTTTGATTCCCAGAGAAACTGCCTGTTTTACGTGATCATGAACTGAGCTTAAACTCCCAAAACCACTCCTAACCCCTCTGGGGCAAGAAGACACTGCATTTTACATCAATATGTGACTCTTTAGTCTTAAAACACGTAAGCAAACTTGACCTCAACCATGATTTTATGTCTTGATCTTTCCAGGCTCTCCCATCCCACAGGCCTTGAATTACAAGGGCCAATGGCTGACTCTTCCCTGATCTGAGTCATCATCGTCATCACAGTGGGATGGATTAAATAGAAATCAGCTCAGACCACAAACACGCATGGAGCAGCCATCATTTCCGGTACCCTGTGCTGTGGGCATCGCAGGTGCCCCAGAAAAATCACACTCACTGTCTTGGCCTGTGAAAACCTAAAGTCCATTGATTGGCACTTGTTAATTGCAGAATGATTATGTGCCAAGTTCTAAGACAAATCCACAAGAATATAATAAAAGGGCCTCTACCCTAAGGGGAGGTTGGTTATTCTCATAGATCTAGTCTAGTCTCTGGAACCAGCCTTGATTCCAGCCCCAACTTCCCTACTTCCCAATTCCATGGCTTTGGGAACCTTTTCTTTCTCCTTTCTTCCCTTTCTTCTTTGCTTGCTTCCCTGCTTTTCTTTTTTATTTCTTAAATATTTACTGGTTTCCTGCTGTGTGCCAGGCATTTTGCTTGTTGGTAAGATTTCAGTTTATTTAAGATACAACCCTTGCCCTCTGCCCTCGAGGAAGTCAAAGTTCGTTGGTGGAGACAGCCACTGACAAAGTCAGTGACAACACAGTGTATAAGTGCCACCACAGGGACAGAAGCACACAGGCTGTGGGACAGCGTAGGAGGGGCACCCACTGAATTTGGGAGGATCAGGGAAGAAGGGCTTCCTGAAGGAAATGACTTCTGAGCTGGAGCCTAAAGTATTGATTTTTGTTATCCAGGCAGGAACAAGTGGTTGGGAAGAGTGAGGAGCAATCTAGGAGAACACGTCTCTGAGCCTTGACGTTGTTGTCTGTAAAATGGAAATAATGATATCCTTCTCAGAGCCTTGTGACATAATGCATAGTGCCTGACCTTCTGTCGATGCTAAATTACTGTTAGCACCTTTCTCACACTATTTAGTGGAGGGGCTAAGACAGAGTCTAGTTTGGTTTTTAACTCTGGCTTCCCCAACCAGTAATTGGCTGTATGACCTTGGACTGGTTAACTAATTCTCTGCCTCTCTGGGTCTTCTATTGTAGAAGACATTGTGTATGTGAGTAAGTGTGTGTGTGAGTAAGTGCGTATATATTCATTTGTTCAGTCAGCGAACATTGACCATGTGCTTTCTGCTCCTAGGAACTTGGGAAGTTATAAGGAAACTGAGACATTGGAAGTTGGGGAAGGAATAGTGATGAAAGTAAACATATAAGCATATAATTAAAATTCTAGAGAAGGAGCTAGCATTTGAAGGTGGAACTCTCTCATGATGAGTCTGGGAAGAAACTCCCATATTATATATAATAGCTACTGATCCATACAAAACACCAAGAAACCTGAAACAAGGCCAAAACAAAAAACAAAAACCACCAGAAAGTGACCAAGAGACCATCTCTGATTCTTGGCTTGACATGCCCTGTATGGAGCACATTCCTGGCCTGGAGTTGTTGTGTGGCCTGAGCTATACCATCCTTGGGCCCCTGGGCCTGGCTTGAGCATTGTACATGGAAGCCTGCGCTTGCGTATTTTTACATGTCCACCCTGCACATGGGCCCAGCTGGAAGGCCTTTGTCTCACTTGGGTGCTTAGTCATTTATACCATAACAGGCAAATTCAGAGACAAAGGAGGCCAACAGGTCAGGAGATGCTTAGGTTAGAAGGAAGATTCCCTGCTGGGAAGAATCGTTGCTGATTCTCCTAGGAATTGGGGTCTTCTAGGTGGTAGATGGGAGTTGGCAGAGAGTAGGAGTCTGGCTTCTTGAGCTTGATGGGGACCTCAGTGGTGAGCAGGGCCCCTAAAGGTATAACGGTATACCTGGTAGAGAAGAGATTGAGGGCAAAAGGGTGGGGGACAGCAGCAAGATGGTATAACATGTTTCAGAGACATCACTGGGTGGCTCACTTCCTCATTTGTGCATTCATTCTTCTTTCATTCCACAAATACACACTAGATGGATTTAAACAGGAAAAAATGCTCTAGAATATGGAGTCATGGAGTCATGAAAGAACTAGAGAGAATCTAGGCTGTTGCCCTCATGTTACTGATGGGGAAACAAGCCCAGAAGGTGTCATGGGCCTATTCTCAGGGGTCTCCTGACACCTGGTCCTGTGTCCTCTCTCTGGGCCCTCATCCCACGTGGCCTTCTTTAGTTCTTGGGATGTCATTGTCACGGACATGGAAGTGACCCCTCTGCACAGCCACCCCTTCCCCCAAAAGACATCTTTCTGTAAAACAGAACTTTCCTTTTTCTATGATCTTTGCGTGGAAAGCACCCCTCTCTGATGGGAAGGAACCTCACTCTCCTGCCCTAAGGGTCCCTTCTCTTGGGACCTCCGTGACAGTGTCAAAATTAAATGAGGACGCATGTGTAAAGAATATAGTAGTTCCCCCTTTTTCACAGTTTTGCTTTCTTCAGTTTCAGTAACCCATGGTCACCTGAGGTCTGAAAATATTAAATGGAAAATTCCAGAAATAATTTATAAGTTTTAAAGTGCATGCCACTCTGAGTAGCATGATGAAATCTCACACCATCTCGCTCCATCCCACCTTGGACATGGATCATCCCTTTGTCCAGTGTATCCACAGTGTATACACTACCCACCCATTAGTTATTTCATAGCCATCTCAGTTACCAACTGTCCCAAGTATCACAGTGCTTGGTTCAGGTAACCCTTCTTTTACTTAATAATGACTCAAAGCTCAAGAGTTAGTGATGTTGGCAATGGGAATATTCCAAAGAGAAGCCATAAAGTGCTTCCTTTAAGTGAAAAGATAGCTATGTATAGGAAAAAAATATAGTATATAGAGGGTTAGGTGCTATCCATGGTCTCAGGTATCCACTAGGGGTCTTGGAACGTATCCCCCATGGATAATAGAGGACTATTGTATAGACCTGTAACCAGCATATTCTAAGTGTTCAATAAATGTCAGTCCCTTTTTCCTTCCCTTCCCTTCCCGCCTCCCCTTTCCTCCCTTTCCCTTCCCTGCACTCCCTCTCCCAAGGAAATAA